TACCATGATAAAAAATTTTAATTGGCCAAGATTATACGTATGATCGGCCAAGATTATACATATGATCGACCAAAGATAACCGGATAAAATTCACCACCCAAATCTTTTTCAGATCATGTAATATAATTTTTAATGTGCATCGTTTTATCATATTCTAATTTAAAAAATGACCAATGAAATGGTGCTTATTAGAATAATATCACATAATCTGAAATAAATTTAGGTGGTGAATTTTACCCGGTTACCAAAGATTATACATATGATTAGCCAAGATTTAATAGAAAAGTTGACTATATAAATTAATGCCAGCCAAAATTAAGCTTAACTCCGCAGTAATTTGGTAATTTACCAGTAACTTACTATCAGTAAGTTTACATTTACAACCCTGCCTTGCGGATTACCGAATCACTTTGATAGTTTATAAAACGAAACACACATTTTAAAATTTTTTGAGTCCCAAGCTTTCAATTCGTATTCGTGGCTAACAAATTTTGGGATATCATCCAATTAAATTAAAAGCCTTCTATGCTGGGCATATCTAGTGACCCATGGGTTTACTCGCCGGTTAACCGAGTAACATCTTTTTGACCGAGTACAAACACTACTTCACTGAGAGTTCACTATAACGAGTGTAACGATTTTCTATCAAATTAAAATAAATTTTCATATAACGATAAATCTTGTCTACTAAGGCCAGGTCCGTATGCCAAAAAATATATGACGATGATTATCCGATACCCATTCAAAGAATTGTTGTCTCGAAGTTCACGATTTATTTTATGTGTATAAATTTTACTATCTAACGTGTTATCGATAAGGAATCTACTCTAGCCAACATTAACTATAAATCAGGCCAACCTTAACATAAATCGGGCCACCTTTGTCGACGAAATGGTTGTCAAATTTGTTTGTATGTCTGCTTTAAACTTACCACATTTGTCATCTATTATATTTAACAATGACTAAAAATTTCCTATAATGATTTTCATGTCAACCTATCGGAAAAAAATGTGCGAAACACAGTTTACTATACTAGTACAATTGAAAGAAACTTGGCCCAATTGTCTGAAGTAATGAAATATATATATTTATATATAATAATGTAATAATATATTGACTTATTACAGTATTATACATATAAGGACTTGACTGTGGTTCGATTTGGGTCATTCAATTGCCAATGCTGACATGACCCTGCTTGTAACACGAAATTAAAAAGATCTATATAATCGCGTTTGTTTTCAAAAAAAGACCCTTTAGTTAATCATTTCAATTATAAAAGACAATCTGTAGAAAATAAAAATTATTTCCACCTACTAGTTATCAAAAATGCCACCTATCGTTCGTAATGCAAGTCGTCGAAATCGTTATAACCCGACCGTCCCAAAAGTTGAAAAACTGAATACTCTTAAGGATTGGGTTAAACGAACATTCAATGTTAGTTTAAATATTTAAATACTTCTTTGTTTAAATATTATATCTTATTCGATCATTTCTTGTTTATTAGGCGTATCTTAACTCTGAAAGCATCCCTAGGCCATCATCCAATTCGAGGGTATACTCCTTTCCATCAATCCCTGGATCTTTTCCTTCCGAAGACTCTCCACTTCATAAATACCTTGCAAAAAAATATTTCAGAATTTGGAAAAATAATACAATTAGACGAAAGAAAGACATGGCAAAGGCGGTGGAGGTTTATGAATTTAATAGGAAAGCAAGTTGCTTCCTGTTATGGATGGAAATGTCAAAGAAACGTCGAGTAAATAGAATTATGATTTGTAAACTCTGTAATTTCTTTCTTTCTTTCTAAATTATTAATAACTTTATTATTATTATTATTATTATTATTATTATAATTTAGTACCTAAAAAAAATTCTGCAAAGGCAATCAAGTTTTTCCGCACGAGAAGAAGATTTGCCACCGTACAGAATATTAAAAGATAAACCTGGTGCTCCGGTATGATTTATTTTAAAAATTATATAATTTGTGATTTAAATAAACACCTACTGACGTTTCTTTCAAATAGCACAGAATACGAATTCAACAAAAATTATGTTTTGCCAATCCACTCGAAGATATATTTACATATGATTCTGATGAAGATCAAATTAACTATATAACAATTGTTCCGGATGATGTCATCATCTATGATGAATATGAAGTGGATGAAAATATGGTAGATAAAATTGCTAGTTTTTATGAAACGAAATATCTACGCTATGCGCAAAGTCATAAAGTTTGGGATGCATGTTATAACTTATACAAGTATGGTTTCAGAGCTCAAGATCCCGTAATAAGAAAATACTTATTGCGTTTAATTTGATTAAATATATATTCCTGTTTTGTACATATGTTTTTTATATTATACCATATAGTTGGCGTGTTGATATTATTATTTTTTTCTCATATTAGATATTAGATATCGTTGTTCACATAGAATAATATAAATTGTACGTTATAAATAAGCTATTTTCGATTATGATATTTGTATTATCGCTACTTTTTACGAGATGCGAATTAACATAAACATTAAAATGAATGTAATACAAACAAATACTACAACTCCCCACACCAGCCATGTAGTTTTGCCGGATTGTGCAGCATACGCTCCCAATCTGGCTCCTTCCTTTTTTAATCGATCTAAATTAATACCAAGAGAGCTTTGGGCCTCGTCTATTATCTGTTGTTTTTTAATATATAGATATTAATTTTATAAAGCTTAAACGTGGTAATTTGAACACAAAAAAATACGAACCTTCACATCTTTGGCCAATATATCACCAAACGTCACTGAATTCATTTTTAATTTTCCTGCCATTTTTACTAATTCATTTGTAAGTTCGTCTTGCGTTTTCCGGTGATGTTGCAGAACAGTTTCAATATTTGATGTGTCTTCATGTTCAAAAGTTCTACAATAGAAACAAAATTTTAGAAATTATTTTTAAATATGAATTAAGCAGTATTTTTGAAAAACAACTAGACTAACCTTCGTTGTCTTATATCTGATCCCAAAACATCCGAAGAAAATAATTCTGATCGTGTACAATATAATAAAAAGGTCAAATACATCAAGTCATATAATGTTAATAATGTCAATATATACACATACCCATCCTTTTTTCGTTATACGTTCTCATATTATCAGGCTCAGTATTAAGTGAGTGCGTGGGTGGCTAATAAAGCAAATCGAATTGTAATTTGTGACTTCGTAAATGCTAATGTAGAATAACCGCGTAATAAATGTGTTATAATCAAACCTGCATAAGTTCCTCTTTTAATTCTTTTTCAGCCTGTCTAACCATTTTTAATTCCAATTGATTCTCTTTATTTTTTTCTTCTTGAGATTGATGTGCATGTTTAACAAAACGCGCTTGCGAAAATGCACGAGATACAGGCGATACCTATCAAGCATTAATGAATAATTGCAGAAGAACCGAAACATTACAATACGTACTTTATATTGTATTTACCAATTTAAACTCATCAACCACATCCGAAAGTCTCTGAATTTTACGCGCGTACTCGCTAGTGGCTGTTTTATCAACCTGGCTTGTTTAGAAACAACAATATTAATTCAAAAAAAAAAAAAAAAAAAAAAAAAAAGAATTAAGAATTTTAATTAAATTGAATATTTAAATAATTAGACTTACTATTCGGCATCCTTTTCTATTTGTTCTAATAATTTGCGAAGGTACTTTATATTCTGTAAAGAAAATAAAATTGTAAAAAACGAAATGTAAAAAAGTTTAATAACCGAGACCAAATCATACCGATATGAATTTCAATTTTTCGGGTCCACGTATTAGACCATTTTCTTCGGAAATTTGTTTTTCACATACAGCCAAGAGTCTTTGGAGATTGACTTCTGTTTTAGTTGGAGAGTGTGTCGCTGTTAACGTCATGGATTATTGTTCTCGAATGTCTATCGTTACCGTGTAATTTTATCTCACAAGTCGTGTAACAATCATAAGTCGTACACTAACAAAAGTAGGGCTTGGACCCGCATCCGTTTTTCATATTAAATTTAATATTAACCGGATCTAAGCTCTAAACAAAAGTCACCGGCCGACGATCATTTTTGGCGAGCGAAAAGATTCGTTAAAAATTTATTCTCGCGCAATTATTAGAAGATACATTGTTAGCACCTATAGTTAGATAGTTTTGGACAAATTTGTACTTGTGTTTGTAATTCTTTCTCAATGTCGCAAAAACATAAAAAATTATCTGAAAACGAACGAAGTCGGATGGTGTTTGGAGATATGGCTCTCCGGTTTCTACTATTGTAAAAACTCAACTTTGCAAAAACAACTGTTCAAGATGTTATTAATCTATCTGAACAAATTGGTGAAATAAAATCGCCCGCTCGCCTCCTGTCTTAAATGATCATGATAAAAGTCACTTGGTTCGTATCGTAAAAAACATCGTAAAGCTACCTTGAGTACTTTGCAAGATAAATTCTTACAATTGACCTCTGTAAACGTTTCAACGCGTACTCTGCAACAAAACCTTCATGAAGGAGGTTACTATGCTCGAGTCGGCAAGAGAAAACCATTCGTTAGCGAACCAAATCGAAGGATTGGATTGAACTTCTGAATGGGGATACTATTATTGGGTGGCGAATCTCGTTTTGAGGCTTGTGGAGGTGATGGTCGTAGTTATGTATGGCGTTTACTAATGAAAAATTTGATGTAAATTGTACCGACTTTTAAGTCGGGTAGAAGAGGGATGATAGTTGGGATGTTTCACCGCGGATGGTTTGGGTCCGTTAATACGAATTAATGGCCGGCAAACTTATTATATTGAGCATTTGGAAATTCATTTTTAGATATTCTTGATCCAAAAATATTGAATACACTTTTCAAGATGACAATGCCCAACCATCGGGGATGGGTAGTAAAAAATTAGATTCAAGAAATCAACTTCATATCTTCTGTGGCCCACACAGAACAGAGCCCAGACTTCAATCCCATTGAGCATCTTTGGGATGAATTGGAACGTCAGGTTCGTGGCGTCCTCATTGCTAACTGGTGAGGCTGAATTATTTCCTTTTGGAAAATAGTACAATATAGTTGAATCAGTTTACAATAATTTATTAGAAGCATGCCTGATCGTGTTCGTGCTGTAAAAAACGCTAAAGGCTATCCTACAAAATATTAAATACATAAATAAATAAATAAATATATATGGGGGGAGTCAGTAGAAATGGGACAAATTTTTTCTAAGTAAAAGTTTTCTTAACTTTAAATTTAAATATCTT